AGTTAATTTATATAAATTTCTTTATAGAAGATAATCCTGACTAGACATTCCCGGTACTTTTTATATACATAATATTTGGTTAACAATTTACATATCCTGTATTTTTCATAAGGCAAACGGAAAGTGTTACCTTATACAGTTAAATTCCCCTAACATACAGTCACTGTTTCGCAACAATCGATGTTTCGCAACTGATTCCTAAGCGTAAGTCACGTGGTTTTGGAAAAGGTAGTTCAGTCAGTACATACATCGAGGGAGAGGGAGGGGGAGAGAGGGAGAGTGATCTAGTTGTAGTTAAATATCATTTAATTTATGAACATCTATTTATTACAACACTAATTAATACATAAGTGTCGACATATTTGGCCGCCACTTTCACCCCAACAACCAGTCCGAACATACCGGTACCCATCGAGTCAGTCAATTATATTACATACTTACTGAACCTCCCCTATTTCATCACACGAATTAGACTTAATGCACTTTAGGAGCTCATAGACATACAGTATGTAACATGAATAAATTGCATATTTTGAGTTAAAAACTGAATTAGTTATATATTTAAAAATAATTTCCAAAAATAGCTTCATAAGTAACTACATTACATTACTAAATTGATGATAATAATTTGGATGTATATTATAGATAACTCTAATAAAATATTGTGAATTACAAGTACGGTATAATAGACTTCGTATTGATTTTTTATGCACACTACATAATTTGTAGTATTTTAAAATAAAATACAAACAAATATCTATATAATGCTTTTGTAATTAATCTCTAATTAATTTGTAAGAGATTAACTAATTAATGTGTTTTGTAACCATTTTATTAAAACATAATATTATATTAATATAAATTTATATCTTATATATAATCAGTAAACAAATATGTTGTTCAAAATTAGCTCAAATATCATTATGAAGCAGTTATTGATTTTGTTTTAATTTTATAAAAATTTATATCTAAATATTAGAAAATTTTTTATAAATGCTCATGAATTAAGAAATAATGCCATATTTGCAGTTTATTTGTTTACTTATATTTTCACTTTACTTTTAAAAAATAAAGCAAAAACTAATTGTGTAATAAGGGACAATACAAGGTTATATTTTTATATTTTTTGTATTATTAAAACTTATAAATATCGTATTCTACATGATATGTAATAACGCTTGAAATAAACTATTGCTTAGCAATAATCAAGTCTTTTAATTGTTTTCACAACTGTTTAAACTATTGTATTAAATGTGAATACTGTATATACTGTATAAATAATACAAATATAATGAATAATAATGCATTAAAATGTGATTTTAAAAATCTCATTATAAAACACTAAATTAACTTGTTATAATCATGTTTTCCGACTTAAATAATTATAATATTTGTGATAAAATACCCGAAGAATTGAAACAAAATATTAAACTATTTTATATTTTCGATGACTGTGTCGGGCATAACATATTGTTTGTGACATTTGATGGCTTAGTGTATGGACTGGGATCTAATTATTACGGTCAGCTCGGGTTGGGACACAACTTACCCATTGAAACACCACAACAAGTGCCGGAATTACACGACAAAAATATACAACAATTCTTGAACGGAAAGGACTTTGCATTGGCTGTCAATACAGATAATCTGATTTTCAGTTTTGGTTGTAATAGATGGGGACAACTGGGAAAATACTGGACTAGTTTTGGTTACCATAAACCAAACACTATATCATACTTTGTATCAAATAATTTCATTATTAATGATATAAGTTGTGGCTCTCATCACACGATTGTATTGACAACTTGTGGAAAGCTATTTGGATGGGGTTGGGATGGCTGGGGACAGTTAGGTCTGGGAAACAAAGGTATGGAAGTCATGACAAATCCTATTGAATTTCCAATTCATTGCCAAATCAGCAAGATTACGTGCATTTATATGACATCACTAGCCATGACACGCGAGGGACAGGTATTTATTTGGGGTCAGAATGAGCTGAAAGAAATAAAAAGTCCGCAACTATTAGAAAGTGTTAGTAATATACAAAATATCTGTTTTGATAATAACGTGTATTTGCTATCAAATGATAGTTTGCTATATTTATACGATTTTCAAGCAAAATGTATGAATAAATTAAGTCATATCGCGTTCAATGAAATGAAACAAATCTATTCGTATATAAAGGATAGGCCTATAATAACGGGCAGATCTGGTGATAAAATATATGAAATTATTAACAAACAAGTGATTGAAACAAATTATCAATCACTTGATGAATACTATTCGCGTGAATTGCAAATGACTTTCAATACTATTTCAATAAAAAGTCAACAAAATATGGGAAACGTGTTGAAAGAAAATAAGGATATTTGTGGTAAATATTAAATTAACTTTAAAATTATTAAATTAATCCAAAAATATCAATATTTATTAACATAGAAACTTCTAATAAGAAAACATTTGATAACTCATTTGAAATAATATCTAAGCTTGGTGAGGGTGGTTATGGACAAGTATACAAAGTTAAGTATATTTATGACCATAAATATTATGCCATAAAGAAGTGTCAATTAAGAGGTAATAAATTACTGAATTATTTTAATTATTTGTTTTATGATTTTTAATAACTTATTGTTTTGTTTACAGATTTATCAGAGAAAGATAAACAAAATGTTTTGACTGAAACCACTAGACTTATAAAACTTCGGTCCAATTTTGTGATACAATACTACTATTCATGGATTGAATGCAATTGTCTTTACTTTCAAATGGAGTTATGTTTAGATAATCTAAAAAATGTTTTAGATATCAAGAAATCATTATCTAATGAAATGCTAATGGTTTCAGAATATTATGTATCGTATTATATATTCTATAAACTGATACAATGTGTGCAGTATTTGCATGAATCGGATCCACAGATCATTCACAGAGACCTCAAACCGGATAATGTGTTGATTTCAATGGACGGACGCATAAAGTTATGTGACTTTGGTTTGGCTAAAGAGATCGTGAATATTGATTTGTTTCATATGTCTCAAGTGAAGTACTCAAACGTAGTATCTGATATAAATTACCAGGCTCCTGAATCAGAAATCAATAATGATTATAATCATTTGATAGATGTTTATAGTCTATCATTAATAGGTGCAGAAATTTTTGGTTTCGATAAAAACGATATAATTGACGGAAAGTATGTTTACTATTTAAATAAAATATGTTAAATCATAATAATAATAATGTTTTACTGTATGATTCAAATTTAGGATAAATTTATTCATACATGAAAAAGATAACAATATTTTGAGTGACTTTATGCATAAAATGAATGCATTATTGGTGTCAATGAGTGTTAATATGTATTCAAAAAACGGTTCAACAGATTGGAGGCAAAGACCTGAATGTTCGCACATTTTATCACAATTACAGACAATTTGTATTAAACCTATAATTCAGGAAAATGAATGCAAACTATTAGAAACCTTTATTGACAGAAATTGTGACATTTTGTATAAAATATTTGTGAAAAGCAGACCTAATTGTGTTATCCGAATGGCTAATGAAAACCTACCCATAGGCAAGTATACACATACCCAGGATAAATTGAAATTATTTTAATATTTTATATTTATAGAAAGTACAGAAACTATGGCCCAAAATGAAGCCATGTATGAAATAACTGATGAAAAATTTATTTCAATGGGTATATCGCAGTATAAATTCATACGAAAATATAATAGACAAATAAATTCATTATTTAAAATAGATGTCAAAGTAAAACGTGAGTAAAATATATTAATTTTAATGATAATAACATAGTTATGATTTGTAAAATACTCAGTATTTTTACTTTATTAGATTTGAATTTACAATTAATTAGATTTTTATATATTTTATAGTTATAGAGGACATGAAAAAAATGAATGACTTTTTGAATGGCTTTAGAAAATTATTTGACTTAAAGTCCGAATATACGGTTGAATATTACAACTCATGGATTGAAAATATTTACATATTTATTGAAACGGAATTGTGTTCACAAAGTCTATTGAATTTAATTAACACTAAGAATGAAATCTTTAAAACCCAGACCACTATTGACATGATTTGCATAGATTTCTACATATCCTATGAACTACTGCGAGAACTCTTACATTGTATTCAGTATTTACACCAAACAGTTGACACAGACATCAATGTATGGAAATTCAATGCATTTTACATATTAGTCGCTAATAATATAAGGAATGGAAGTTGTATCCGGGTCAACGCATTAAATCATTTCTTAAATAAACAGGATGATTATTATTATGCTACTGTAAGCATAATTCGTGATTTATTTGCACCTATTTTTAAAAAGTAAGTTATCAATATAAGTTTAATAAACATAAACAATGTTTGTAACACTTGTTATTATTTAGGGATAACTTTCCAACAAATGTGGGAATAAATGTCAATAAAATTCAAGACTTTTTTAATGTTATGGAAATTGATGATAATTTTGTGGTAAGGGAGGGACCGGTAGTGTTGGATGAGTTGAAAGATATTTTCGCACATAATATACAACTAACTGATGAAAACGTCAAAACATTTCAAACACTTATAAAGTCAATGAAATCGGATAACTCTTATAATACCAATAATTTCTTTATTGAATACTTATTATCAAAAACTAATTCAATAGGAAATACACATAAATCTTAATACAATATAAAATATTACGTTTTATACAATTGAATATAAAAATATAATAAAATAATTATCACATTTTATTTATACATGTTATTTATATGAAAATGATTGTTAATTTTATATTAATTTTTATCGTAACTTTTTGATCAAGTTTCAAACTTTTGCTAACAAATAACATTATTTATTTAATATTGCAAATAACCTGTATAGTTATTATCAATGTTTGGCATCAATAGTGTTACCAATGTGTAGGACGAAGATTATATTTCATAAAACAAATACAATGAAATGAAAATATTTGATTCCTAAGTAATAATCATACATTTCTTTGTGTCTACAAAGTAAATACAATGTTTAATGTTTTATTTTCTACGTTATACTGTATTAGATTTTATATAATATAAAACATTATGCTAATATTGTATTAGTAATACATATTAACTCCATGATTTATATGGGAATTTGTTTTAAATGTTTTACGAATTACTGTAATAAATAAGTTTGCTAGATTTAATTGTCAAAATATTTTTGTATATAAGAATATTAATAAAAGTGTACGTAACCAAGTAACGCACATGTTAATAAACAGTACTAGTTAAATTACAAGTAAAATTAAACTTAATTAATAATATCAGAAATGTCTGTCATTTTAAATAATTATAAAATTTGTGATAAAATACCAGAGAATGTAAAACAAGAAATCAAATTATTTTATGTTTTCGATGACATTATCGGACATAACATACTGTTTGTGACATCAAATCATTCGGTGTATGGATTGGGAACCAATAGCTCGGGTCAACTCGGGTTAGGACACAACACACCCATTGAAACACCACAACAAGTGACACAATTATGCCATCAAAATATCCAACACTTTATCAACGGATGTGACTTTGTATTGGCTGTAGATATAGATAAACAGATATACAGTTTTGGTTGCAATGATAGAAAACAGTTGGGAAGGTATGCGGATTACTATGGATACAGTAAACCGGAAATTATTTCATATTTTAAAACAAATGATTTAATTATTTCACAAATAAGTTGCGGTAGTCTTCATACAATTATTTTAACAAATAATGGGCGGGTCTATGGGTGGGGTTGTAATGAGTGGGGTCAACTAAGTCGTGATAAGCTAGGTGAACTCTTACTACAAAATGAAATAGAGTTTCCTAGTGGATTTAAAATTACCAAGATTATATGCAATAAAATGACATCATTTGCGATTACATCGAATGGACAGGTGTTTATATGGGGGGAGTATAGAAAGCAAGTCATAAATAGCCCGCAAATATTTAGCAATGTAGCAAATATACAGCATGTATGTATTGATTATCATATAATATACTTGCTATCAAACGATGGATTAATATATTTATACGATTTTAATAACCCATGTATGAATAAAATAAGTCATATTGTATTCAATGATATTAAAAAAGTATATTCGTATTATGAAAATAAGACAATAGTAACAGGCAGATCTGGTGATAAGATATATGAAATTAAATGTGGACAACTAATTGAAACAAGTTATAAATCATTTGATGATTACTATTCACATGAATTTAAAATGAATTTAAATACAATTGAAATACGCAATCAACAAAATGTTGAAAATGTACTAGATGGAAATACAGATATTAGTGGTAAATATTAATATTTTTGCTCTAATGTTAATATACCGTATATAAATTATTTAAAAAACTATAGTTCATACAAATAGAAATATATTTGAAATGGTAGCTAAACTTGGTGAAGGAGGTTATGGACAAGTGAATGCAGTTAAAAATATATTTGACAATAAATATTATGCTATCAAAAGTTGTCTATTAAACGGTAAATAATCTAAATTTATTTTTAAAAATATTATTATTAAAATTTATTTTTTAGATTTAACAGAAAAAGAGAAACAAAATGTTTTAAATGAAACCCGAAGTCTGATAAGACTTCGGTCAGAGTTTGTGATTAAATATTATTATTCGTGGATTGAATGCAATTGTCTTTACTTTCAAATGGAGTTATGTTTACTTAATCTTAAGTATGCTTTGAAAATCAAGAAATCATTGTTTAGTGAATATCTGATTAATTCAGAATATTATATATCGTATCATATATTTCATAGACTCACAGAATGTGTGCAATATTTGCATCAAAATAATATCATTCACAGAGACCTCAAACCGGATAATGTGTTGATTTCAATGGACGGAAGCATAAAGTTATGTGACTTTAATTTGGCTAAAGAGGCCCCAAATTGTAATCCGTTTCATATGTCTAAAGATGTGGGAACTCAACATTATATGGCACCGGAAGTAAATTCTGATCCAATTGCATTCAATCCATGAATAGTAGTATTGAATCACAAACTCTGACCGAAGTTTCACAAGACTTTTAGTTTCATTCAAAACATTTTGTTTGTCTTTTTCTGTCAAGTCTTTAGGAAAATACAAAATATATAAATTTAATAACAATGAATATAATTTTGCATTAAATATAAAATATTTACCATTTAATTGACATTTCTTAATTGCATAGAATTTATTGTCACATTTATTTTTAACGTTGTATACCTGTCCATAGCCACCCTCACCAAGCTTAGTTATTATTTCAAATGACTCTTCAAATGATACTAAATTATTTAACTTATCGTTAGTTTCTGTGATAAAAGATAATACAATTTAATAATAATAATCAATTAAGACATTAGTGTAATATTTACCGGAAAAATCAGTATTTTGTTGAATATGCGTTGAAATAGTATTTAAAGTGATTTGCGATTCATGTGAAAAATAATCATCAAATGATGTATAATTTGTTTCAAGCACATTATCGTCCAAAATTTTATATATCTTATTTCCAGATTTGCTCACAATTACTGATTTGTCTTTTTGGTACAAATATTTTTGATTTATTTCGTTAAACACAAGATCTACTAACTTGTTAATACATTTATTATGAAAGTCGTATAGATATAAATGACCATGGTTAGACAATAAATATACATATAGGTGATCGTTTAACAAAATATCATCTTTAACTGAAAGTGCACTGTGTATATTAATTGCATTTTCCAATATACATGGAGTTTTTATTATATTATTATCTACCTGTCCCCATATAAGCACCTGTCCCTCACAGGTAATGGCAAGTGATTTATTACTGCACTCAATTTTACTAATTTGATATTCACTTGAAATTTCAATAGGAGCTGGTTCTATTTGATAACGTTTATCGCCACAACCAAGCTGTCCCACTTCATTACTGCCCCACCCGAATACCTGTCCATTTGATGTCAACACAATTGTGTGATAATCACCACAACTTATTTGTGAAATAATAATTGTTTTAATTTCTAAATAAATTATTCTGATTATTTAATTATTTAGATACTTTATCAATTTTTGTGAATCGTAA